GGGGGCGGGGGGGGGGGGGGGGGGGGGGGGGGGGGGGGGGGGCGCGGGCGGCAGCTGCTCCCCTCCCTCCCTGCCAGGCCTGCAGCTGTCAGGCCCGGACACACCTGTTACAGATTTCAAACCCAGGTCAGGGTGGAGAGGGCAGGAGCGGGTAACAGGGCTCCCACAACACGATCGTGTGTAAAATATGGCAGCGACACGCGCTCAGGGCCAAGATGTGGGCGGGCAGCGGGCTGGGGGCGGCGGCAACATCGTGTAAAAAAGTGTTCAAGTTCCCATAGCAAAGAGGGCTGTGAGCGGGTGTTTGGGCTTCTCCGGTACAAGGGTGAGAGCCACCCGGGTGGAGGGGGCTTGGGCAGGGTCTTCATTTGGTTTCCTGGTGCTGTCAGTCCGTTCCACGCCGGAGGGCCCTAGCTCCCGTAGTGCATGGTGTTGGTTGGGATGGACATGGGCGAGGCCATCGAGATGGCGGGACCGCCCATGGTGAACTGGCTGTTGACCGCGTAGTGGGCGCTGGAGCTGCCACCGCTGCTGCCCTGGGCGCCGGAGGACCCTGTGGGGCGGGATGTGGGCACTGAGGGGCCAGCTCTGCCCCCTCGCCCGCCCAGACCCACGGCAGAGTCAGAGAGAGAGAGCGCAGGCGAGAGGGCAGGCGGGCGCCCGGCAGTGGGCACCCTCACACCCGCGGGACCCTGCTCCCCCCGCCCACCGTTACCTTGGACAATCCCCGTGCTCATTATGGAGCCCATCCGGGAGTGGGTGTGATTGACAATCCCCGTGTTGGCTGCGCAGCAAGAGGAAGGAAGGAAGGAAAGGAGATGGCGTCACCGCCCCCAGCCCACCCGGCCCACATGCCCGGCATAGTGGGTGCTCACACTCGGATGTGGGGAGGGTGGGCACGGTGCTGGCAGAGCGAGGCAGAGAGGAACGGCGCGGGGGACCTCAGCCCCCGGGAAGAAGAAAAGGGGGTGAGGCCGAAGGCCTGAGCTCGCCCCAGCGCGCCCACCCTCCGTGCGCTCACCTAAAGGAATCAGGTTGTTGTGGCCCACGCTGGAGCCGCCGGCGATAACACTGCTCAGGTCATAGGCGGTCGGCATCCCTGTGCCGGGGAGGGAGATGTCAGGGGCGGGGGACAGTGTCCTGCGCAGGGATTCGAGGGGCCAGAACTGCCAGCGTTTACTCAAGAAGCACCGGCAGGTGCGTCCAGGAAGTGACGCTGGCACCTGCCCCACCCACACGCGGGTCTGCTCACCAGCCACGGCCATCCCGCTGCTGAGGTTGTAGGTGCTGCCGGTGTTCCACATGTTCTCCGAGGGGGACGTGTAGTGGGAGCCAGGCGGCGGGGAGGGCGTCGTGCCTGTGTATCTGTGGCAGAGACAGACCGGTCGACGGGGCTGAGGGGCTGCAGGCGAGGAGGGGGACGCCCCCTCCCACCGCCTGCAGGCCAAGGGCCCATCCTACCTGAAGAAGGGGTTTTTCAGATCCAGGAGGTTGCTGGATTTGGAGCCTGTCTGGTCTACCTGGGCCACAATACTGATGTCGTAGCTCTGTCTGTAGAGAAGGCAGGAGGGGCCGGCCATGAGCCGGCTGCATGGTTGGACTGGACCCCTGCCTCCCCCAGCCCTGGCCAGCAGCTCACACCTTTTGTTGGCAATAAGCAGACATGTCCCTGAGAGCGTGTCCCCGGCCTTGGCGAACAGTGGTGACTGGAACAGGCACCGGACCTGGTACCAGTGGGTCAGGGGCTCCGTCGGGGCCGTGGACAGCCACACGGTCATTCTGCCAAGCAGGAAGAGGCATGCGTTTGCCCGGGCTGCAGCCCCCACCTTGCGCACCCTGAGCTCTCCCCAGGCATCTGTGCCCCGCCACCCAGGGGTCCCCTGGGGCCCTGGAGCCGAGACAGGTTGGCTGTCCAGGAAGTTAACACATAGCCCCACAGCTATGGGGCACCCACTCACCCTGACATACATGCCAAGAGACACAGGTCCCGTGAAGAACAGTCACTCAGAACAGGGTAGACACCCACCCTGCCACAAGAGCCTACTGCTTGAAGGCCAGCGCCCGCTGCCTTTGGACAAAACAGTGGAACCCAGAGGAGTCGGGTCCTGCCCTCGCAGCACCCAGTTCATCATCTGAGCCAGCCAGGCCTGGGCTTCCCAACTGCAGGCAAGTCCCTGCGGCCAGGGGCAGGGGCCACCTGCTCTGCCCTGTTACACTCACATGGAGCCAATGAAAGCGACGTCAAACCAGAAGGCCAGACCGTGAACCAGCCCGGAATGCAGCATGTGGAATTTGAATGGGATTTCTATCCTGAAAGGCAAAGGGCAGTGACTGCTGGGGAATCTAGCTGAACAGGGGCTGCCAGGAGAGAAGAGGGGTACTCGGGTGTTGAGTCTCGAGGGCCCTGCCCGCCTGCCCTGGGGAGGAGAATGCCTGAGGGAGCCGGCTGCGGCCTTGACCTCCGGCAGGAGCCAGGCCCAGGAGGACGGGGCATGGGTGCTGGTACCTGTGCAAATCTCCTTCTTTGGCTTCTAAGAAGTTCACCGTGTACTTGACAGACTTGGCCATCAGGATCCGGATGTCAAATGTGTCCTGGGAGAGATCAGAGGTGTGACCTGACTTCAGGCACAGGGTGAAGTCCTGAGTCTGGCCACGGCCTCTAGGCCATTCAGCTAAAACCAGTTTGCCCTTCCCAGACATGCTGCGGGGAGGGCGAATTGGTACAACACAATGGAGGGAAATTAGGTGACAGCTCGCAAAATGACAACCATTCATCTGCATTAAAGACTTGGCAGTTCCACTTCTGGGATTTTAACCTACACATCTATGTGCACATGTACAAACTTACACACGGAGTTACAGATTGCCTATAGCAGCGACACGCTGGAAACCATCTAATGAAACAAGTAATGGCCCAACAATAAAAGATTATGTACATGAAAAAGAATGAAGAGGCTGTTTATGATGGGGAAAGATCTCTAAGGTAAACTGTTAAACAAGTTCACAAAAAAAAAAAAAAAAAAAAAAAAAAAAAACAAGTTGGAGAACTGTGCACTGACGTCCACTCCCAGCCATGACGGAGATTTCTTATCAGACTAACACTGCTGCCAAGAGCTATACGAACTGAATAAAAAACAAAGGAAAAAACCCCAGTTGTCTGAAATCACTGGAGAGCGACCACAGCAGCCACAGCTTTGGGGCCAAGATCCTAGAGAGAGGAGAGATGCTTTTCGGCCTGTGCCTTTCCCCTTGGGACGGGGCCTTTCAGCAGCCTCCCTGGGTGGGGAAAGCAAAATGGGGGCTCGGGATTACCAAGGCAGCTAGCGCTCAAGGGGCCAAGATGCTAAAGAAAACGGAAATGTGGAAATTTGAGGTGGACAGTCTGCACGTGATTTCACTTCGTGGCATTTGCCAATTCCTGAGCTACATGTGGGATGGGGGTAGGGATATCAAGCAGAAAGCTAATTCTATGAGATTAAAAAGCTAATGAAAGGTTCAGCACCATGTTGGTGCTCAGAGTATCGAACAAGGGACCCTGTGAACCACCAGGCTCACCAAGACCATGAAGACTATGCCCTAAAGCAGCGGTTCTCAAAATGTGGTCCCTTCCAGAGCACCCTCAAGGTCAAAACTATTTTCACGATATAACACTGTTTTCTGCGCTCTTCATTCATTCACTCACCTGTGATACCACAACAGATTGAATGCAGAAGCAGAATCCAACTGTCTTCTGCTAAGCCAGCCATTAAAAAGATTTGCAAATTTAAAATGTCACTAATTCTTGCTGGAAAGTTTTGCAAAATAGTTTTCTTTTTAAAAACGCTATTTATGTTAACACGTAATGGGTTTTTATTGTTATCCTTAAATTAACTAATGTGTATTTTTAAATTTCTTGGGTTTAGTTTTTAATGTCAATAGATATCGATGGTACATCAATCAATACAATGCACACAAAACTTCTTTGGGATCCTACATTTTTGAGAATGTAAAAGGGTCCTGAGACGAAAATGTTTGAGAACTGCTGCCTTACAGGGAAGCCGGGCGATAGGCCAGTTAAGCAGAGTCTGGAAAGCAACCTCCAAGTGTCTTAAATGCCTCATAGGACCAAGGTAAACTGTCATTATGGCTTCTTGCCTGAACAAAAACGAATCCTTGGAAAGAAAAACATCATCCAGAGCCTCTATAATTTTTCATCCTGGCATTCAATGACCAGGCATACCAAGAGACAGAACCAAAGTACCAAAAACCAAGAGAAGAAAAAACAGAAATACACTTACCACTTATCCAGATACTAAAAGTGATCAGAGACTTAGAATTAACATGTTTAAGGACAAAAGGTGAACAAATTTCACAGAGAACTGAAATAATTAAAAAAATAAGCAAAATGAAACTCTAGAACTGAAATTTTAGAAAACCAGGGGGGAGGAGGAGTTGGATGGGCAGTCAAAAGGAACTACAAACTTCTAGTTATAAGTACTAGGGATGGAATGTACACCATGATAAATATAATTACCTCTGCTGTACGTTATACATGCAAGTTGTTAGGAGAGTAAATCCTAAAAGTTCTCATCACACAAAAAATTATTTTTTCCAAAAACAACAAAAAAATTCAGATTAGACATAGTGATGAGAGGATTGGAACTGGGAGATGGATAAGGAGAAAACATGAAAGTTATGCTGTTGGGATAGAAAAGTATAAGTATAGAAAAGAGTATAAGAATCATCTGAGAAATGGTGAAAAGGTCTAATGTATACATAATCAGAGTTCCAAAAGAAGAAAGAGAATGGGACAGAGATAGTGTTTAAAGAGGTGCTGGGCTTCCCTGGTGGCGCAGCGGTTAAAAGTCCTCCTGCCAACGCAGGGGACATGGGTTTGAGCCCTGGTCTGGGAAGATCCCACGTGCCACGGAGCAACTAAGCCCGTGCGCTACAACTACTGAGCCCGCGAGCCACAACTACTGAAACCCCGTGCACCTAGAGCCCGTGGTCTGCAACGAGAGAAGCCAGCACACCGCAATGAAGAGTAGCCCCCACTCACTGCAACTACAGAAAGCCCACGTGCAGCAACAAAGATCCAACGCAGCCAAAAATAAATAAATTAATTAAATTAATTTTTTTTAAAAAGAGATGCTGCCCTAGAGTCTCCCAAAACTAGTGAAAGACAATCAAGAGGGGGAAAAATAATATATACCTTATTAAAAGAAAGCAAGAAAAGAGTTAAAAAGAAACAATAAGATAAATAGAAAAATAGTAAAATGATAGATTTATAGCCATAAAGACCTGTAATCAGATTAAATATAAATGGTCTAAATATTCTAATTAAAAGATAAAACTCTGCCAATCTGGTTAAAAGACAAAACCCAAATATATGATATTTACATGAGGTAAACCTTAAGTAATAGGTTATAAAAAGGCTGAAAGAAGAAGGATGAAAGTATGTATCCTATAAAGATTAACCAAAGAAAGCCTGAGTAGCTGAACTGTTGTCAGAAAAAAATAGACTGTAAGGACTTCCGTGGTGGTGCGGTGGTTAAGAATCTGCCTGCCAGCGCAGCAGACACAGGTTCGAGCCCTGGGCCGGGAAGATCCCACATGCCGCAGAGCAACTAAGCCTGTGCGCCACAACTGCTGAGCCCGTGCGCTCTAGAGCCCGTGCTCTGCAACAAGAGAAGCCACGGCAATGAGGAGCCCGCGCACTGCAACGAAGAGTAGCCCCCGCTCGCTGCAACTAGAGAAAGCCCGCGCGCAGCAACAAAGACCCAACGCGGCCATAAATAAATAAATTAATTAATTAATTAAAAAAAAAAAGAAAGAAAGTCTGTAAGGCAAGAAGTACTACTAGAGATAAGAAAAGACACTTGTTATAGTGACAAAACGATCAATCCAACAAGAAGGTATAAAAATAATCCTAAACCTGTATGCACCTAATAACAGTAATGTCAAAAAAAATATAAGGCAAAAACTATCAGAACTAAATGGAAAAATAAATCCACAATCAGTAATAGATAGGAGAAGCAGACCAAAAAAAAACAGTAGAGATAGAGAAGACTTGACCAACATGATTAACAAATGTGACCGATCTGTTATTAATATAACAATGTACACAACAAGCAATTGGTATACATTTTTCTCAAGTACAGAGGAAACATAAACCAAGAGAGACCACATACTGGACATAAGGCAGCTCTCAACAAATTTCAAAGGACCAAAATCATACAGTGTATATATCCTCTGAACACAGACAAACTAAGAACAATATATTGATTATGCTATACTTTGAAAGGAAAAAAGGTTAAATATATGTATATTTGTATATGCACATTTAGATATAAGACTTCTAGAAAAATACATAAAAAAGACTGTTTGCCTATAGGAAAAAGAACTGTGTGGCTGGAGATGGACGTAGGGAGGCTTTCCACTTTTATACTTCTTTGACTTTTGAACCATGGGTCTATACATCAGTTCAAAAATCTCAATAATTAAAATCAATCAAATAAAATCAGTTCACCAAGGATCAATTCACCTAATGACAGTAAACACGTTACCGCATGCTTACTACGCGCTAAGCACTCTACATGCATTGCTACTTAATTCCCAACATCCCTGTGTGAGAGCTCCGTGCAGGGGCAGAAGCTCAGAGAGCAACGGTGGCCTGCCTAGTGCTGCACAGCTTGCATAAGGCCTTACAGGAAAGCCCATGCCCCTCTCCTGTCACCCCAGAGGAGGGCCATGCCCAGTGCTACCGTGGTAGTGAGTGCCCTGGGTGCCCCCACTCACCACCACAGGCTGCCGGAAATACTCGTCCACCGCAGCACCTCGGAGAGCTGACAGGTCCACTCCATGGAAGGATGGCTGGTACCTGCAGAAAGCCCCCGCCCCCCATGGCAAGGTCACCAGCAGCAGGACACAGTTGGGGCAGCCTGCCTTCTCTCCCAGCTGGCCCTCATCCAGCCCAAGTCTTTTAGGTCCTACTGAGGATAAGGAATAAGAGAAAGGTAGGGCCATCCCTGAGAAGGCAGGACACCCAGGGGCACACTCACCAGAAGTTGGCCTTGGTGAACTGCTCCATGTAGAGCTGTTCATCCGTGAAGGGTGCGAGGTGGACATCACCAATGGTGGGGAACATGTTTCCTGGGAGTGGGGGCAGGGAGGGGTGCTGGCGTCAGGTTGGGACATCCAGCAGGACCTGGCAGAGCCTCCAAAGGGCCCCAGGACCCCAGCTCTGGGCCTTCCCAGCCTCTCACTCATCATTCACTCATTCATGCACTCATGCAATGAAGAGATACTGAGCACCTACTCTGCCAGCGGCCACTGAATACTTGACGTACACCTCCTCACTAAACCTGTACAGCTAGCCAGGGAGGCAGTAGGGCCTGGCCTCAAGTCCCATTACAAGGGCTGGGAGACAGGAAAGCACCTGCCAGAGCCTCAGGGGTAAGTAAGCAGTGCCTGGGGTGTGGCCAGGCCTCCAGGGCCCCTGCTCCGTCAGCCAGACAGTGTCTCTTGGAAAGGCGTGCAGCAGGGAAAGCAAAGGAAAGTGCTGTGGACAGAGCAAGGGTGAGCCCCAGGCTATGGCATCACGGGTCCCAGCTGAATCCCCACCACAGGACTGCCCAGGCTCTGGCAGGCAGGGTGGACCACTTGCATGGCCTGAAACGGGAGGGGGACTCAAGGAACAGACAGATGAGTCAGAGCCAGTGGCAACGAGAGCCAGGGCTCAGGAGGCACCGCCTACTTCTAGAGTCTAGGGCCCCAAGTCACCTGGCCTCCAGATGTGGGCCTCCCTCCCTCCTCTTATTCCAGGGAAGAGTCCCTGAGGTGCTGGGAATCTGCCTTCTCAAGCCTTCCTTCAGCTGTAGCCACTGGGGTGGGGAAGGGAGGGGCTCACTGGCCCAGAGGCCACAAGCCAGGCCCCCTGCCCAGGAGGAGCCCATCAGACCCCCGGAGCATCATGGAAAAGTGCCCCCAGCCCTGAAGGCTCCTAAAACTGTGCAGCTGCGGGGAGGGTTCCCTTAATCCCCCAAAAGAGCTTCCTGAGATGGAACGAAGCCACACTCATGCAGGCTGAAGGGGAAGAGGTTAGCCCCAGGCCTCATCCTGGACAGGCTGCTTGACCACTGGGATGAGCGTGCAGCTGCCCACTGGAGCCTGACTCCTGTCTGTCCTTCCGTCCCATAAGGAGGAGCCACCCTGCTGCTCCCCCCCCCCCCCCAATTCCCCCCCACCCCACGCCCCAGCTAGCTTGGCCCATCAACAGGGCAGAGCATGAGAGCAGGTCTAGGACAAGCCTTGGGGCAGCCTGGCTTCCCACACACCTGGATCGCAGGACAGAGCTGTGGGGAATGGCAGCCACCTCCTACCTCCCACCTCTCGGAGTGGAGCCTGAGGCAGGTCTTCCCCACAGACCAACTCCTCCCCTGCCCTCCACGGGGCCGCAAGTGCACGGACCTCCCGTGCTCTGCCCTGGCGGGGGTCGTCTTGTACCACACGCACACACACACAGAGCCCCTTTCCTGTACAGAAATACTCAGAACGTGCCCAGGACTGAGCAGAGAAACGGACACGTTGGCAGATGTTCAGGGCCACGCACAGACCAGACCACCAGTGACACAGATGAGCAGGTGTCAACAGTGACCCAATGACCCCAGAGCACAGACAGGCAGGTAGTGACACAGACAGGAGACCACAGCCATCAGCTGCCCCCCGCAACACACAACAACCCCCATCCCACTCTCTCACTCACACACACACACACACACACACACACACACACACACACACACACACACAACCCCACCCCATGGTGATGAGCGCAGGAGTCTGTCAGGCTGAGGGCAGGGTCTACAACGCTAGGAATGAAGACGACAGGACAGTTCCTCAGGGAAGGTGCCGGCCACAGAACATGTCCTGCTCCGACCACAGCCCAGCCAGACACTGTCCCCCATGGGCCATGAGATGCCAGAGGCAGCCCAGTGGCTCTCTGCGGGCCTGAGGGGAACCCCTCCGTACCCTGACCGAGCAGACCGGGCAAGTGGACACGTGGCCTCGTTTGGGGCCCAGCCAGCTGAGGTCAGGTCCGGGTAGGGAGCGGGGGTGAAGGCCCAGATGCCCTCTGTACCCCAGGCC